AAAAACACCAGAATATTGATTTTTCATTTTTTTTTTTTTTTTTTTTGCAGTATCCACCTTGTATATGCAATATTTTGATTGATCTGAAATACAAGATATATTCTATCAAATAACCATAATTTCCTAATTAATAAATTGTATATACAAATATTCCAGAAGTTTGCTTACTACTTTCTATGATTGATTTTTTTTTTTTTGAGTGTTAGTGGAGATATATATATTTTGTACATTGTCAATATCATAAACTAGTAATAGTTGATGCTGTGCTAATCTTAATATTGATATACATGAAGAAAAAAAAAAATGACAATTTTTTTTTTTTTTTCTAAAGAAATTTGGGGATTTGTAAAAAAAAAAAAAAAAATAAACAAAATCATGATTATAATTCTCTTGTATAATTTACCAATGTCTCTTGAAAGTGTCAGATCATCTTGTTGAGCTGCTGCATTTTTTTAACTATTTATTACTAATAGGCTAACTAGATAACAATCTGGCAACATCTTGGCAGATATCTTACTTATTATAAAACGCAGATTGTGTGTGTGTGTGTGTGTCTGTACGTTTATATATTGGATCGGATTTCCTACATTTTTCAACCTATTCCAACAAAACTTCACAGGACTGCGTAAAATTACCTTGCAGTGGTTCTGACAGTGCCAAAAATTGGGAAAACACAATTGTTTTTGCACGAAATCAATTTGAAAACACGATTCTGTCGCCAGAATGAAAGGGGGACAACTCATATCAAGTTATACTTATTATAAAACCCAGGTTGCTTGAATGTGAGTGTGTGTTCGTTTATATATGGGATCGGATTTCAACAAAACTTCACTTCTATTTCAACTACATTTTTCAACCGATTTCAACAAAACTTCACTTTTTTTGCCAGGTAGTGTTTCTTATTGTCTTGCACACTTTTTTCTTTATTTTTACATTCAGAATGCTTTAAAATTCCATTTACAAGGCAATTGTTTGTAATAAAATTGAAAAATTCTATTCAATCAGTAGACTCATAACGATTGAAAACAATGTTTTTGTTTGGGTTTGACTAATTCATACCCCCCCAAAAAAAACCTAATTAAGACATACATGTCCGTCAACCTTAAACAATAATCTTTGTCAATTTTATTTTTCAGTCTTTATGATGGTCGATACTTGATCTATCTCTTACTCAACTGTTACATCCCCGGGCAACGCCGGGTTCTACTGCTAGTCTTTAATAAAAACTCATTAAAAAAAAACTTCTAATTAAAATAGATTATAACCAATTATATTTCTTGACAATGCTTGACTTTACCAGATGAGCCATGTCAGACTTTTACAGTAAAAATGGGACTCTATCCAATATGTAATTTATAGCTGAAATACATATTGTCTGTAACCTATTTCTCTTGAGTCTCTATTATAACATTTAATATATATATATATATATATATATATATATATATATAATTCCTGTTAAATTGTCCCAAGTTGGAACAGAGTTACAAGTTGTGGAGTTATTGGCAGTGTCCCATTCAAATGCTTTTAACCAAGTTTCCAACAAATTTTATTGGTTGTTTTAAAAAAGGAAATGGACAGGAAAGAAATCAAAGAAAATTGCTTTTATTATTAATGAATTGGTTTCTTTTTTATTTTTATTGAAAAATCAAATCAAATCTGTAACTTAAGTTAAATTTGTAGTTGCATTGATTGGCTTGCAAGAAACAAAACCATCAATTATTAAGAAATTAATTTTTTGAATTGGATGTTATGAATTTTATTTTTTATCCTGTATTTGTCTAATAGGTTCAAAAATCAACATGAGTGAGGTCTTTCTTTTCTGTATAAACTGAACATTGAGCTTTTCAGAAAAAAAATGTTTTTAATTAGCCTATCAGTTATTTACAGCAATTCTCTCTTTTTATAAAAAAAAGCGTGTTAGTTAAGTTAAACACACACATTTAGAAAAAGATTTTAATTCACCCTCAACTATTTGATTGTAGATATGTAACATTTGAATTAGTGATTCATAAAATTACATTCATGATCCTTTATAGGAAGAGAAATGAAAGCAGAACTGACAAACCTTGTACTGGAATGAGTTTATCCAAAAGGGAGCATTTGGCTCTAATGGCTAAGTTAATACACAAGAATTTCCTGTCTCACTGTTACTGTTTGCAAGATATAGTTTTATTGAAAACATTTTATACCAAAGAAGTTATATACAAATTCTGTTGGTATTTTTAAAAAAGAAAAATCATAAAAAGAACAACATTTCTATAACTGTGAAACACATAAGATCATTTGGTAGGTTTCAGTTTAAAAAAAAAATTATTAATTTTGCTGAATTTGTAAAATAATCATTGGTAGATGCTGTAAGCTAGTCTTGTTTGACTCTTACTTTTGAAAATTTGATATGGGTTCAAATTCTGCACTTGTCAGTAACATTAATACAGTTTTATTCCTAGTTGATATTTTTGTCAGTTCCTCTCTTAACAGCTGAAATAGAAACAAATAAGTAAATTTTGTCTTGAAAACTTAAGATAAAAAAACATTTTTATATTTATTAAAACAGTTTGAATAAGTATTTTTTTTTCCTTAAATATGTTTTAATTGTGACTGTGCAGAGAAAGAAATTTCACATTTTGTTTGTATTGGACAATTAATCTCTGACTTTGTGGCACTATTGCTGATGTGATAAACACTTTGATTTTTACCTAATTCTGAGCATAAGGCATTCTTAATATCCCAACATTTGTCTCAACTTTTTCTTGCTATGTGTAATATCTTGCTATATGTAAAAATTAGTAATCTACATTACTCTTATTTTGACCGGATCACTTCCTTCAGTTCATTTAAAGAAAATCTTGAAGTGAATGTTTTAATGAGCAGTAGCTAATCTATTGAATCATATGAAGGCAATTAATTTCAAGTTTCATTTGTTCATTATCTTACTTATTATAAAACGCAGATTTTGTGTGTGTGTGTCTGTAACGTTTATATATTGGATCGAATTTCCTACGTTTTTTAACACATTATTTTTTAAACAAAATCAATTTGAAAACACGATTAAGACACATCGTGAGAATGAAAGGGGGACAACTCACCCACGAAAATGTAAACAAAAGAGCATAGCATGATGAAAAAAAGCCGAACTTGACAAAAACAAAATTTTATCGTCTAATGTTCATATTATTATTAAAGAGGAAAGATCAAAGTATTTTGGGGGTATTTTTTTTTTACATTTTTTAATCGTTCTTAGCACGTCTGAAACTTTCGTTAAAAATATTGTTTTTTTTTTGTTTTTTTTTGGTCAAAAAAAAGGACAGATAATCAATCATTTTTTTCGATTTGATAAAATAGGGAAAGATAATTCCATGTACTTTAGGGCCGTTTTTTCAATTCCCTTTGCAATTTGTTACAAGGCAGATCAATAAGGCATTGGTTCTATTTGAAATGAATTCAATATTTAAAAGAAAGTATTAAAAAATAATTTAAAAATGCCGAAGTAAGAAATCTGATAGACAAAAAACAACAATATTTCGAAGATGATAATTATTAAGGAAAGAACACAGTACTTGTAATAAATTAATAAACCCAAATAAAGTTAATATTTTTTGTATTAGAAACGAGTGGAAAATATATTCAAATCATAAATTGTAAAAGATTACAGAGAAAGGCTATCTACATTTTTCAACCGATTTCAACAAAACTTCACTTTTTTTGGTAGGATAGCAAAAGGTGAACAAAGGCGGGAAAAGTTTTTTTTTTTTTTTTTTTTTAAGTTTTTGGAAAAAGGAAAAACTCGTTAACACGAGGTGTAGGGATGTTCGCTCCAAAATAGGAGATAAAAAAGTTTTTTTACTTTACTGTGGATTTGGGTGAACAAAGGCGGAAAAAGTTTTTTTTTTTTTTTTTTTTCAAAACAAGTGTAATTTTTTTATTAAATGGAAAAACAAGTGTGTGTAGTGTTTTTAAGTGTTGTTTTTTTTTTTTTTTTTTTTTTTTCAAAACAAGTTTTTTTTTATTAAATGGAAAACCCTTTTTGTTCAGGTTCACGGTGGAAAAAGTGAAAGTTCAGTCATCTCAGATTTTGGGATCAGGCATTGAATTTTTGCTGCTAAAATTATTTCTCAGACGGATCAGGCAAAAGGGACTGCTAAAATTATTCTGACGAAGACTTATTTGTTGTTGGTTGCATCGTCTTAATGAAAATTATTTGCAACGAGCCAAAAGGGATGAAGAATTATTTGTTGTCAGTAAGATATCCCTGTCTGTATTTAAGGTTTACTGACGAGGGATAAATGAGTCAACTTCATGGATCGAAATTTTTAGCCTGACTGAACTCAAACGATTAGTTTGTCTGTGACGTCAGAGAAAAACGCGGGAAAAACAGTAATTTAAATTTGTTAGATTGGTGATATCAACAGGAGCTGATAAAACTACAATAACTTACTTGTTTAAAACTAAAGAAAAGGTTTACTACTATATTTAGCTTAACGAGAAAGGAAGGGGTGTAATCAGTGGACGCACACACACACACGCACAAGTGTGGAAGGAAGGAAGGAAGGAAGGAAAACTCGCACGCGCGTAAAACGTAGATGGAATTACTGTATTATTTCCATAACTCATAACGATTGTAAACAATGTTTTTGTTTGAATTTGGGTTTGACCAATTCGTAAAAAAAAAAAAAAAACTAATTAAGACATGCGTGTCCGTCAACCTTAAACAATAATCTTTGTCAATTTTATTTTTCAGTCTTTATGATCGTCCATACTTGATCTATCTCTTACTGTTACATCCCCGGGCAACGCCGGGCTCTACTGCTAGTATGTTATAATAGTTTGCTCATTGCTTTAAAAATTTTAAAATGGTCATTCATTTTGTGTTGACTTGCTATGATATTACTTAACTAATATAATACCCATGAGGATATTTATTAGAAATGCATTTTCCCATGATTTTTTTCCTGTATCTCGTTATTTACTAAATATTGTCTTTTGTTTACTATTTTCAGATGGCTCTGAGTGCAGCATCTCCAATTTATCGAGGGTATTTGTCAGATTATGATTGCCGCTGGAGTGTTATTGCTCAGGCTGTTGATGACCGAACCAGGGAAGAACGTGGGCTTGAGGTAAGTCATTTTTAGTGTCATTGCAAAACTATTCTTGTTTATGATCTTTTCTCATTTTAATGTGTTTTTGAAATGTTTCAATTACTTGAACATAACCTAGTTTCAAGCATAACAATCAACCAAGATGACATTTTGCAAGTTAACTGAAATAAAAGCAAAATCTCTTAGAATTTGCCAAGGTTTGGAGAAAGATGGAAGGACTGAAGCATCCAATTTCCATGTTGCTTGAACATGAAGTAATGAATATAAATATATTTAGCAGAAAATTTGAAAAAACTTTCATCATTGATTAACTGGTTGTAGGCATATACAGGGTGATTGAAAAGTAACTTTCCATTTTAGAATATTTATTAACTATAATTTTTACAAGAAATGAATATGAGAGGAAAGCATTTAGCATGAGATTTTATTTAAAATTTGATATGGGCACCAAATTTCATTACCTGCTCCTCAAGCCACTCAAGAATTGTGTCAACTGATTTCACCACAAACTCTTGTATTATGGAAGACATAACTTTTTGCTTTGCCCTTTAAGTTCTTCCAATATCTTGGTTTGGTATAGTAGACTTGTTCCTTTAACCCCAAAGAAAAAAGGTCACAGAATGATGTCGGGACTCTTAGCTGGCCACTCATATATAAAATACGGAGTTACTTTTTAATCATCCTGTATATTAATTCCTTAACTTTGGTCATCCTACTCTGAAATATTCAATATATTATAGCATTTTATTACTTACTATATGCTATCTCAACTTACAAACTGACTTCTGGATGAATTAATTTGCTACTAAATACAATATCATTGAAAAGGCAGGGAAATATCTAAGAATATTTTCAGTAGTGTCTTTATATTTGGAATTTCTGAAATGGCAAACGTTGCTCTTGATAAGATTCTATCCTATTTTCCAACAATGCATTAGAATAATTTGCATTCTATATTGTCATTATTTTTTCTTCAAATTTTCCTATTGTTGCAGCCATTGAAAAATGACCGGTTTTTGATAAACAAGTCTCGCTATGATTCAATTGACAGTTACCTTTCTGAAATGGGCCGATGCTACAATGATTTGGATTTGGTATATGACAAAGAAATCTTTGAACAATTAAGGGATTCAGGTATATTTACTCAACATCTGTTGTAAATATTTGTGGATCTTTGAAATATGCTTTTTATTATTTATTTCACTTTGTTAGAAGACATAAGGAAATTTTTTTATGAAACTAATGCATTGCTATTCTTTAAAAAAAACCAAAAAAAAAAAACCTTTTTTTTTTTCTTTTAATAAATTAATTTTTTTAAATAAAAGTAATTTTAGAGCTTTTTCTAATGTTGTATAAAGTGTAATTCATTTTTTTCTTTCCACAGATATTGATGATTTGCTTGCTCAACACATTGCTCATCTCTTCATTCGGGACCCAATCTCTTTATTCTCTGAAAAAATTCACCAAGATGACACCAAAGATACAGACCATTTTGAGGTTTGTGATGTTATTTTTGTTTTAAACTGAAAAACAATGAAAACGAAATCAGCTACTGTGGTGGAATGCAACCCTATTTGTCTTTCCTTTCAAGCTATAAAAAAAAATGTTTGAACCTCACTTACAGGCAGTAGTCAAATTGCATTGAATAATATATGATAATATATACAAGCAAGACATAGGTGATCATGACTCTTTGCGGTTTCTTTTTTGTAACAATACCTACCTAGCTAGATATGAACATATATGGCTATGGTGGAAGGCAAACATAGTTGTCTCCCTCCTCGAACTATTAGACAAAAAAAAAGAAATGGTTGAACCTCACTTATGGGCAGAAGTCAAATTGCATTTAAATTGCTTAGCTACAAGCTGAAATGTTTGTCTATTTTTCTTTACAGTTTCTGATGCATTTCATTGTCAAGCGCCTATGATTTTTTTTTTTTTTTTCATTTATAGTAGGAAATTTATCTCTTCACTTTTTTCATTTTAAAGAGAAGCAGCAAACTTCTAACAAATGATTTAGGGTCATGAAGAGGTGCCTCAGTCATTTCCAATGAATTATTTTGCAATACTGAAAAATATTAAATGCAATATCAATTGAAATCTCATCTCATTCAATATATATTAATTATTGTGAAAAATTGATTAAGAAACAAGGACAGAAGTCAGGCAAAAGTGTTGAAGATAAAAATTATGTTAACCGAAATAGGCATGAATAAATATTTTAGCAATTATTCAAGATTATCAATGCAAAAATTATTGGTTTTATGCTATAAAAACTATATTTTAGCATATTCTTCTCTTTGTTTTCATTACTGTTTAAAAAAATTCCCTTTTCATTTTTAAGAAATATTGACATCATCTTTGAAACATAATCTGCAGGACTGAAGGTCAGTCAAAAGGAAAAGTTATTGGGGCAAATGCCCAACTGACTTGGAGGACCAACTAAAGTGAAATATTTGTACTTAAATGTTTATAGATAAAAAAGTGATTATTATTTAACATGATTTTATATTGTAGAATATCCAATCCACTAACTGGCAATCTTTAAGGTTCAAGCCCCCACCTCCAAATTCCAATATTGGCTGGAGAGTAGAATTCCGACCAATGGAGGTAAGAAAACCATCTTTATAATTCTTCATTTGCAAATGTAATTCCTCAGAATCTAATTAAAATAGTCAATATTTAGACAAAACCATGTTAGCTTGATGAAATTTGAAATATTCTCCACTTTCTAAACGATTTTTGTTTGAAAAAGATAAATGCAAAGAACTTAAAAACTGGTAATGAAAAATTACAAGTAACCAAAGTTAAGTAATATTACATCTCATAATTAATGAAAGGTTTGATTATGTGACAAGGTGATACATACAACATATTACCTTGTCAGAGGACAATCTTCAAATGACTAATTGACAAGAAGTAAATATAAAATCAATAATCAATTATTTTTACAAGATTTCATTTTTTCACTCTTTGATTGACATGAAATTGGTTGATTGCTGATTTGATTTTTATTTTATGAAGGTTCAATTGTCTGACTTTGAAAATGCTGCTTATGTTGTGTTCATTGTGCTGGTAACAAGGGTCATTTTGACTTTTAAACTCAATTTCATGATTCCAATCTCAAAGGTAAGTTATAAAAATATATTTTATTGCCTTGAGATTTTGTAGGGACTTTAAATTATCAAGTAAAAGAACATTAACAAAGATTTTAATTTTGTAGATTGTATAAAACCTTTTCTGGGTCAAATTATCTACAAAAACAGAGTGCTAAGTGTAGATCTACTTCTAAGCTAGTGCCCCTCACTAGGGGTTCCACTATTGTAATGTTGTGGTAGTTGAGGCTAAGCTGATTATCTTCAGTGATAAGATTTGATCTGAAGAAATCAGATTTTACTCACGTTCTAAGTCTTAAGCTCTAAATATTCCAGGATTAGATAAGATATTGAAGAAAAGAAGAAATAAAATGAATCTATATAGATGACTCCATATTTTGTTTTTTTATGTTGGCAGTGAAGTATTTGGATTTCAGTATTTCAAATATATCTTTCTATATTTCAGGTTGATGAAAATATGGTGACTGCCCAAAAGAAAGATGCTGTAAGAGAAGGAAAGTTTTATTTCCGTAAAGATGTCATCACAGGTAAGCAAGATTCTTGTACCTGTTTTGATTTTTTTCTTTTGTGTCTTCCTGACAAAACTTGTCATTATTTGCATTGGCAATCATTTGTTTTAGAATAGATTTATGCAAAATGTTCAGTGATGTGATTTTAAAGTAGATTATCAGCCTGAAAAACAAATGATCAAAGATTCAGTCTCTAGTACTGAACTGACCTGACCTGTAAAATTTCACCAATGAAAAATAAAACAAATTTCAGCTCTGAGAATGGAGCCAATACTCTTAGTTTGAGTTACTTTCATGCTGTAATTTATTGCTCAGATAGTTTTATTTCCAAGAAGTTCTTTGTCCACAAATCTATTTTTCATTATTATATTTTATGGGTTTTGAACACATAAGAAATCTAATTCTTTTTATATTTGGGAGAATCTCATCAATAAGGTTTTTGGTTAGTGTTTGTATCAAAGAAATACTGTAGACATTCCTTTTTTCATCTCTGATCAAAGTACAAAGGTTGTATTGCATAATAACTTAAGAAATCCTGCTTCATAAGTCTCTTCATTTGTAATTGACTTCAGTTAAAACTATTTTTTATAAAAGTTGAAGAAAATAAAAAGTAATTTTGTTAGATTTGTTTTATTTTATTAAATGTGGTTATTTTTGCAGCCAATTCTCCTCCTGAAGCTGCTGAATGTGTTGGTTGCTGTGAAGTGATCAAACAACGGATTGATGAAGAATACACTTTGATGTCTATTAATGAAATCATTAATGGAAAAGTAAGTCATAATATCCGATTTTGCCTAGACACTTAATCTCAGTTGATTTTACTAGAGAACCAATTAAAGGAAATTAATGGTGTGCATATGCGAGACAAAAGTATTGTTTTGATTTAAAATTGATTTTGTTTTTAATATTAGAAAACTTTCAATTATTTGCTTATATTTTATACATTTGACATGTGTATTGGAAAATTTTAAATGTAGACTTTTTCTTTTTTTAATTGGATATATTTATATTTTCAATCAGAACTGAAATTAATTTTTATTTGTTGGAATTAATTTGCAAAAAAATAATTTACTCCAGTAATTTACTATTTTACAATGGAATTTTATTGGAAATAGTTTATTAAAAATATTTTCATATCTGGAAATCAGTGAGAAAGTAAAGAAAATTTTCACACTCCTTATAGATTCATCCACTTAAAATTTTAATATTTTTCATTTCTACTTGCTTATTGATCATTACTTTCTTTTCTTTTACAACACTTAGAATTACACTAAAAGTTTTATGTTAAATATTTTCTTAAAGGTTTCATTGTTAATTGTCATGTGCCATATGTTACACTCACATGCTCTTTAAACTGCATGTGACATAACCTTTAAATAATCTAATTTAAATAAAGCAGTCAGAGAATCCATTTGGAGACTGAAATTAATGAAAGCATAAAAAGCAAATGAGAGTAAGCAGTCTACATACCAGAAGTAATTGTTTTATTTTCAGGATGATTTTCCTGGTTTAATTCCTCTTGTGAACAAATATTTGGAATACAGTGAATGTGATGTTGATACAAGATGTACTGTACTGCAATATTTACAACTCATATCAAACAGAGCTTCAGGTAACATTCATAAAATAATATTATTGCTTTTGAGTAAATAAAAAAAATTTTAAAAAAAACAAAAAAATTATTTTTTTATATACTTCTTTTTTTTTAACTTGCACATTTTCCTAATGGTTAAAATGCTATGGTTTTTCATGATCACTTCAGCATTCACTGTTTTTGTCTTGAGAAAACTGTCAATGTTTGAATGGTAACAATTTTTTTTTTTTTAAGTTTTGTTCCAGATTGTTTTTTATTAGGATATTTTGTTCTTAAAATTTTAAGTGTTGATTTATTCATGGAGACATGAAGTTTGGTAATCTTTGGTTTCAGAAGATGTTTGTCCATATTAATGTATTGTATCTTTTTCATAAAAATGAAGAAGAATCAACAGTTGTATATTCATACTATGTTTGTGGTAAAATGTGACAGTGGCCAGTTACACTGTAGGGGATATATATATATATATATAATGAGGAGGTGCTGAAAAGTTTTGGTCCTGAACAAGGAATTTAAAAAAAAAAATTTCAGATTTTGGAAAATGGGTCAAACCAAGAACTTTATAACAACCCCCATCTCTCTCACACACAATGTGCAACAAAGAAATACTACTATCTAGGAGGATATATCATTTCATATGATTTACATTTTTGATTGTTATTGAAGTATTTTCTGTTACTACAATAGATTGTTTAAGGTGGTCTGAGTTATTGATTTATACTCAGACACAAAAATCAAGTCCAATTTCTTCAGAAACTGAAATTTTCAGGCATTCAAAATCCTGTTGGTCTCAAAGATGACTGAAACTCGGTTTACTAACTCAAGAGTTGTAATGGCCAACTATATAAACAAAAATTTTGAAGCAATCAGCAGTCTTTAGTGTTTGGGTTGTTAATTCCAATCTATACTTTTGCTATCCAGAATTAACTTATTCCAAATAAATTGAGATCAGAAAGCAAGTTGATAAATAATCTCTTTCTGGGCATGAATTTCATTCTTATCTAACTTCATCCAAAGCAAAACAAACTGGATAATTTGTGTTAACAGATGGATGAATATGAAATGACAACCTTGCAGCATGGGAATTATTGCCATATTTTTCAAATAGAAAAAGCTCAAAAGTACATAATTTATACATGTTATCAAAACCTGACAGATCTTTTGTATTTCCTTCATTAGTCAATTTCATGTCTGTGAGACAAAAGACATTGAATTACTTTGATTCCCAGAGAAAAAATATTGTTGACATATCAAATACTTTTTCTAAACAATTATCAACACCTGTCTACTTTATTGTCCATTGTACTAACTTGGTGTATTTGCAACCTTGCTGTTTCAAATAAGTGGTTTTTTAAGCTGAGTAAAAATTTCCGAAAATGTGATACAATTCCTCCTCCATGCTTTTAATTTTCATTCAAAATTTCTTGTATTATACATAAGAAAATATGTAATGATTTTATTTTTTGATTTTTTTTTTTTTTTTTTAAGAATTTTATTAATTTATAAAAACAATGTTTAGGGAATTACCTCTGTTTTCTCAGACAAACACACACACTTGTTCCATTTTGTTTCAGAAACTTTCCATTTTTATCTTGTTACAGGTAAATTGATGACAATGGCACAATGGACCCGTAAATTTGTGTTGACCCATGCAGACTATAAGCAGGATTCCGTGGTCAATGAAAACATCACATATGACTTGTTGGTTGAATGTGAAAAAATAGCAAGTGGAGAGAAACCATGCCCTGAACTGTTTTTTAAGTATTCCACACGCACAAGGGATAACATTCCAGCAGCAGTCTCCAAGGCTGAGGCGAATTTGAATAGAAAGATCAGTGCTTCTACTTAAAATAGAAACTTTTTTTGATTTAAAAAAAAACAAAAAAAACCTGATTCTTCTTCTGCATCTCTCTTTTCTTCCTTTCCACTCTCCTTTTGGATATTTTTTTTTTTTTTTTCTTGCTCTTTTCATTTTCTTTCATTTTTCTATTTATTTTCTACTCTTTCCTCCTACTCCCATCTTTATTTTGTTTATCTCTTACAATTTGTAAATCTCCTTTTCAATCATGAAAAAGAATCAGCAATTGCTATATTTGGAGGATCTACCTTACACTAAACTGAAAGATGGACCACCATTTTTGTAATATCTCCAAACATTTGATTCTTTTTACTTGTTTTTTCACTTTGAAACAAAAAGTATAACAGCCTTAAACTGACTTAGTCATTTGACTTGAGGAGGAGGAAGAGATAAACTTTAGATTTTCACATGAAAATCTAAAACTTGATCCATTTTTTTTTTTTTTTTTTAAATGTGAATTATAAATTGTTCCAATTCAGAAACATTAACTTTTGTCACAGACCAACATTGAGGGTGGAGGATGATTCTCAAAATAATTCACAAATACATCCTCTTTGCTGTAACGCAGTAGTGCTGATAATATTTAAAACCACAACCATTACTGGCTTAAGGCAATCATTAATACCTATGAAGCTGTTAGCTCAGAAATATTACTAACAAAATATTCAAATGCTTCTGTATTCATTTAACTGTTGTACTTATTCTGGGCAATGGAAAACCTTGAAGTTTGCAAAGCAACTATTTTCATTGCCATATAAAAAAAATAAACCCAGTGAACTTTCAAATGTTTCTCTATCTTTCTCTCTTTCTGTTCCTGTATTTAAAAAAAAAAAAAATTGTAATTAATTCCATGAACTACGTTTTTTTTTTTTCTCTCTCTCTCTTTTCCTCAGTTTGTCTGTTCAACCTTTGTCCTTTTTCTTTTGTCTCTTTTCCACACTTCAGCTAATCTATTCTTTCTCTCAGCTCATAACTTTTTGCTGTCTCTTTAAACCACCATTATATCTTTAATATACTTTTGCCATTTGGAAATGTAGGCTTACTGCATTTTTTTTTTTTTTATATATATCTATCTAAATTTATGCTTTACTTTTAAAATTCTTCAGAAATTCTAACATTCTCTGCTGCTGATTCATGTTCTGCCTTTTTGGTGTTGTTGTTGTCATCCTCCTCCTCCTCCTCCTCATAAAGCAACTAAATCCACATCTATACAAACAAATACATTGATTTGCTTACAGAAACGCAATGCTAGGCTCATGCATTCCTTTGCAGTAGCTGGTCAGTGCCTTTCTACACAACCAGAAAGATAAAATCACTATAAATATTGACTCTTACTCATACTACTACCATTAGTGCCCTATCTTCATCACCTGCTACCTAAACTTCAACGGTTATGATTAGTATTGTTACCATAAAAACAGACACTACTACTTAAAATAGTTAACGTTAATTGTTTGTGATATTTGTATATGGCTATTTGTTTTCTGTTTTGTTTAAATTACATTTAATGACCAAACCTAAATATTCAAATGACCAGGTGTTAGATGCCACAATGAGACAAATGACATCCCTTGTTTGGTGTGTGTGTTTTTTTGCGAATGTGACACTAGTAATGGCCGTTATTGTTAACCAATTTTATTTTAGTCTAGCAGCCAAAATGAGCATTTGAAGCAATGAAATATTTTCCATCAATTCTCTCTTATACCCCATAACATTTTTAAGTGGCACCAAAACTCTACAGAAAATGCTGAGAAGGTAATTTGCCTTTATTGAAAGTGTAGTGGGCCCTTGTAATACCTGACTATAGATTATCACCTGAAATCGTGCTCTTATCCTAGTTGAAAATACTGCTGTATATTCCAAAATACAATAACATTCGTATACATTGGCTTGTCATATCAGTAAGAAAATCACTCAAGATATAGTTGTTTTCCTTTAGCCTTAATTTTGTTAGTATGTTTCTATATATTAGCTGTCGATAAAAATGTCTACTTAATTTGTTTGCCATTTTAATATACTTCAGTCATAACTTTAGTAGAAATTCTTGTGTATGATTTGTTAAATTCTTTGGCTTCCCCAAATTATTGCTGTTCTACTTATAAGCAAAATATGAAACCATTTATAAGTTAAATAAAATGTGAGAGCAAGATCTCTAGATTTTGTTATAAAATTCTGCATATGTTTCTGTAATTAAAAAGAAATTGAAAAATTGCTTATCTTAGGTAACTGATATTAATAACATTAGTACATAATCAATATTAGAAACTTTTCTTTATTTTATTGAAAACTAGTATTAAATTATGTCTAAAATTCACATAAAACCTTCGAAACACTAATCCATTCTTACTCTTGGGGAATCTTGATCAGTTGCATTTTTTTTTTTTTAATTGAGGTGAATAATTATGGTAGGCACTTACTCAACCAATAAAATCTCACAATTACGTTGAAAATTTCATATATTATATGTACAAAGGGAATTAACTCTGCCTGTTTTTTTAGGAGTAGTCTCCCTTGGAAAACTGCGCTACAAATTTTATTTTATTTTTTTATATATGGCAGAAAAATACCCTAATGAAGTAACTATACTGCAACAAATGATCTTCCATTTTAGTTAGTTTTATCTTTGCTGTTGTAGCTGATACTCATTGTTTTTATGGCAGTCCAATAGAATACCATTTATGTCCATTGATTTTTTTTAGAAAATTCAATTTGCTGCCTGTAATAATTATCCAGAATTATAACTTGTTAAACATTTTTCTTTGCTATTTTAGAAAATCCTTTTTATTGCTTAGGCAATAAATCCAGTAATAAACATTACTATAGCTTATTCCACATTACATGATTTAATTAATATCGTAAATTCTGTAGTACAGAGAGAAAAATAAATGATATAGAATGTAATGTAAAAACCTATAAAAATTAAAGAACCTAAATTAAAAAGTATTTAAACAGTTTAGCCTTTTATCCGTGTTCATTTTTCTGATATCGGTCAGGTTAACAAATCAAATGGTAATTTTCATGTCATAACAGGCAATATTTAGTTTCTGATTAGACACATGAAGACTAGGTATATTAGCAGTTGTAATTATTATCTAAAGAGTGCTTGTTTTATTAATGATCTTACAAAATTAACATTATGTTTAGATTTTTTTTTTTTTTTCCCCTTGTGGAATCCGGTATTTTTAAACATCAGTTTTATGGTTGTATTGGTATTGAAATAGCAAGATTATTTCAGCAGTAAAAAAAAAAAAAAAAAAACCCAAAACTGTGATTTGTTGTTGCTGAACATACTATGAAATTTATTTTTTTTGTGTGTTCTTTACAAACTTCTAAGAAAATTCTATTAACTAGTTTAATCTAAGGAAAAATATAAACTGCTGATTACTAAATCTTTTACGAATATTTTTCTTTTATTTTGCACATGCCTTGCTGCTGGACATCTTATGATAAGGAGCATACTAGGTTTTAAATAACTCATTAGACATAAGTAGTCAGTTGTATGTTAATGTTTAGACAAATCTAAATAAACCTGTGTCACAATATCACTGTTAGATGCTTTATTGAAATTGGGGCTGACAGGTACTACACATTACTCAAGAGTGTGACAGAACAAAGAACAAACTTATTTCCATAGGTGTATTCATTTGTGTGTGTGTGTAGGGGGGGGGTCCCTCACTTTGGGTCTCATGCTACTTGTCTGCAACACAGGCAATAAAAGAATTAAGTGAAAAATTACTTTGATATATTATAATCTGGTATCATGCTTGGATAAGTACCATTTTTCCAGTGATTTTTGGCATTAAAAAGCACTTGAAACTAAAATTTAAAAATATATTTTTTAAAGTTATTTTCTTAGAAGCTAATATTTGGTTAGCATTACTATTTTGATAATGAATTGCAGTTTGTGTTATATAAAGTTGATAATGATGTAAGTTTTTAACATTGATTGCATTTGACTCCTAGAGAAGAAAATAATGAATGATTGCTGACAGGATTGAGCCTGCTTTATAAATGTTAGATCAGTTATAGCTCATTATCGTGACAAATATAGGGACAAGAAGTATGGATTATTTCTAACCAAAACAAAAGGTATAATAAACTCCAAGTGATCAGGTTAGTACTTAAACAATTTTTAATACCTTTATAGCAGCAACTGTTTTATCAGAGCAAAATTAAACAGATAATGTTATAGTGTCCCCTTTCATTATTTGATGATTCCCATGTATCTTGAAAAATTTAAATTTGTGAACAGAGAAGTTATTATCTTCAACTTAAATTTATACTGAACCTGATACTATTGATAACGAGTTATAGGCCATGAAAAAAAATTCAATTGAATATCAGATGTTTTTATTATAAAACAAACTAAATAATATTAGTATTGTGTGTGTAAAATTTATAGTTATTGTAATATGAGATTTATTTATTTCAAGTAACATGGAGCATGTCATGTTACTATAAGTTTTCTCAATAGCAATGAGACCAGTTTGCTAATCATTACCTATTCCTTGGACAGATAAATAAACAGAAAAAGCCATGCTGTTGATTAGATAATGTGACTTAATTTAAATGGAAAAATAGGATCAGTCCTGCTGTATTAAATATTTATATAAAAAAAAAAAAATGATGGAAAACATGGAATTGCTCAGGTCTGATCACTGTTAACTTTGTGATATTTGAAGTTGTTAATGCTGATAAATTCATTCAACCAGTGGGATCAATCATTCTACTGATGATTGTCAACAATGAAAGGGTTTGTGTTCTTTTTACATTAATTAGTTTTGAATATATATATATATATATATATATATAAAGCAGTCATGGCCAAATGCATATGACTTAAACATTTTAATAAAAATGCTTCATACCTTGATGGGCTCCAGAATTGATACAGTTGGCCAAAATTGGTTTGAGGGCCATAATTTTCCTATCTGTGACCTCAGTAAAGAGTGAGTAAAGTGATTTTCTATGGTGTAAAGACAAAAGGGGTGATGTGTTTATTGTTCCTGCTTTTTATAAAATGGAATAGTTTGTGAGAAATGAAAACGGAACATTAAAATTAGAAACTTGTTTTTAGAAATAAAGTTGTTGTATATTTTCCTTTTTGAATAAAAAAAGATTTTTGTTTAAATGAGACATTTGTTCATATGTATGGGTGTACTTGAAAAATGGAAAGCTAGAACACTTGTCAAGGGAGAATGCTTGTACATTAAGCTATGAAAGATTTTCTGGCAATAAAATAATTGGTTTGATTTTGAATTTTCTTCTCTTCTATCCAAGTTGTAATGAACTGATTAAATGACAACCACTCTTATCCCAAGATCAGAAACATTTAAATGAATAGTGTTGCCCTTAATGACACACATACCCAGGTTACCTTTTAATATATCTAAAAATCATTTTAAATGTCAAATCAAAATATGAAATAGCTTCTGTCTAAAGTGAAAAAAATTAAATTTAATATGCATCTTACAATAATTAAAAATATTGGAAGCCTCAGAAGCTAATTTCAGTTCTGTTTTTTTTTTTTTTTTTTTTAATCTAATATAAAAAATGGTTGGAGGAATGAAAGAAAACTTTATATATTTAAATCAAAATAGTTTAAATTATCAGAATAAAGTGATTATTCATTTAGGAGCCAATTATAAATCATGGAATTGTTTTGTATAACAGATATAAGAACTTTAATGACATCTTTATTAATAATTGTTTGGGTTGTTTTTTTGTTTTTTTTATACAAGGTTTCTGAAGTTCTGAAATGTGCAAATAAGTTTGTAAAATAATTTTTGAACCAAATCCAAACATTATCCCATTTCAAAAATAGTAACTGCAATAAAATCAACATAAGAAATGTTCATAAAAGATCTGTTAATTTTCCAGGATTTTCTAGTGAAAAAAATTATAAAGAAAATGTATACAGAAAAAAATGTCTTTGCAGGTTTAAAACTTCCAAGTAATTAAATATATAAAATCATTGAAAAACTAGAATAATTTCAGAGTTAGTTTCCAAA